TCCCTGTAGGAGTAATCCAGAGGGATAAATGAAGTTGAGTCTAAGTCTAAGTCTTCCTGTGCAGAAATGCGTCTTTCCGCACGGAGCATTTGTGCTCCACACCGATGTTTTGCTCTCAACAGTATGGATCCTCCTGCTCTTGCTACTTAATAAACTATATGGGGCTGATCATCCTCTGCAAGCGTAAAAAATCCTTTAATCTAAAAATCACGATTTTATTTCTTCTATCTCACATGAGGCAATACCAAACCTTTTTAAATTCCTACCAAAAGGAATCCTTAAATTATATCTAAAACAAATATTTCATAGCATATTGTTTATTTTTGGACAAAGACCCAGATGAGAAGGTACATAGATTTTTAAATATTTATCTCTCATAGTTCTTGTTTCTATCCATTTGAATATTTCAAAATTTTTGGTAACATATTCTTGAAATTTAGGTCTGGATTGCTATTGCATTATAAAGCAATGTCTATATAATTTTTATATCAGACTCCTGTGAGTTTAAATTTACTTTGACTCTGAGCAGCAGTAACCGAGGGGGAAATTCTCAGAAATAAAGCCAAAATTGCCAAAGTAGAAAGAAAAATGTTCTTGTTCTTTGCTTTTTGGAGTAATGAAGATTTTATTGATCTGTGTAATACATAATTCAGAGTAGATCAGGAAGTGTTTGCTTTGGGAGTGAAACCTTGGATGTCTAAAATCATTTATTTATTCTACATTTTGTTAGCTTGTCTGTCTGCTATATTAACTAGATCTGCTTTTTTCACAGCTTTTGTTAGACACCTTTTTTTTTTATATATATATTAGGGCATTGTTTCATAAAAAAGTTTATTTGAATTTGATAAATTAAAGTTTTCTGCCCAACAGCAATGATGAACTGCATGGCAGCGTTCTATACCCAACAAATATAGAATCTAGGATAGAGCTGCCAGTCTGTAAAGAATCTGGCTGTTATTTGAAATTGTAAAGGTTAACTACTGTACGCCTACCCTCAAAATCAAAAAGCAATAAGAAAACATTTGTGAGTCATTTATATAAACATATACATCTTAGACCAAAAAGCAAAGGAACACAAATAGAAAATAGAAGTCTTCACTACAAATACA